TAGATCCATGACGAAAAGTTTATTGCTCCAATGATGAAAAACATAGATCAATAAACATAAAACGTTGATTCAATGAAGTTTTTCATCACATGAATAAAAAAAATGATTAACTTTTGATGTTTCTCGTTCATTGTTCAATGTTGGCTCGTTCATTGTTTCAGTGTCTTGCGGTATGAACCCATCATCAGAAATGATTGTAATAATCATCGATTCGTAATATTAATGTTCAAAAAATTGACGACCGCCGTTCATTAATTTTACGTACAAAATTATTTTCTGTGTGGGCAGTGAATAAATGTCGGTTATATCTGTTGGGCCTGGATGAGTTTATAATAAAAACTGACCATAAACCGTTGATTCCAATTTTAGTCAATCAAACTCTGGATAACATTCAAAATCCACGGCTTCAGCGTTTGAAAGAAAAACTATCTGGATATGTTTTTAGAACAGAGTGGGTCAAGAGTCAGAATCATTTGATCCCAGATGCGTTATCAAGAGCTCCTACAATGTATCCAGAAGATACGGATTTGTTGGCAGAAGAATCAAAAACACATTTGATTTCTCTCATCAGCCGTCAATTGTGTGAAATAAATATACAAGATGATATAGAATCTCAAGACCCCATCATATTGGATATAAAAAAATCTGGGAAAGAAGATCCTGAATATCAATTACTAATTGACCATATCAAACGTGGATTTCCAGATTCGAAAAGATGTATTGAAAGTTGCCTCACGCCTTATTGGAACGTGAAAGATGAATTGAGCGTGGAAGATGAGCTAATACTCAAAGGTTGTCAGATCCTTATTCCAAAAACCATGAGAAAATTAGTTTTGCAAAGACTTCATGATTCTCATCAAGGTGTGGAGAGAACTAAACGTCGAGCCCGTCAAATAGTATATTGGCCTTCTATGTCTAACGATATTAAAAATTTGGTGGAATGTTGTGAATTATGTCAAACTTGCCGACCATCTCTCCAGAAGGAAACAATAATTCAAAATGCAGTACCAGAGCGTCCTTTTATAGATGTTTCTGCCGATTTATTCACGTGTACCAGTAAACATTATATGGTATATGTTGACCGTTTGTCTGGTTGGCCAATTGTGTGTCACTATGGTAATAGAGATCCAAATAGCTCGAAACTCATTGAAGATTTGAAAACAATTTTTACAGACACAGGTGTACCAATACGATTTCGATCAGATAATATGCCCTTCAGCTCCTACGAATTCCAAACATTCCTCAAAAACTGGAAGATTTTTCATGCCCCATCTTCGCCATATTATGCTCAGAGTAATGGTCATGCAGAAGCAGGGGTCAAAGCCATGAAGTCGCTAATCACGAAATGTAGTGAAAATGGGCAATTGAATAACGACAAGTTTTGTTTGGGGCTGTTGGAATGGAGAAATACACCTAAAGCTAATGGTCGCTCCCCTGCCCAAATACTTTATGGTCATCAATTGAGATCTTTAGTGCCCGCTCATAGAAAGTCGTTTTCTCCTCAGTGGCAACTTAGTGCAGATTTGTGCGAGAAGAAAGCCATGACTCAGTTGAGGTATCAGAAAGACATCTATAACCAGCACGCTAAGGATTTACCTCAAATTTCGTTAGGAAATACGGTGAGAATACAAAATCCGAGGACTAAGTTATGGGATAGACTAGGAGTGGTAACAGAGATAGGTAGATACAGAAGCTATACAGTTAAATTACCAAGCGGAAGAGTACTTAGAAGAAATCGGAGATTTTTACTCCCAGTCCCCGGAAGGATAGTGGAGAATGGGTTATTATCCAAAGTAAAAAGGGGAGATGATGTGATATGATAATATTGTTAATAGTTATGAGTTGTGGATACACCCTATAGTGGGACATAAAGGGTATTGACAGTGATTGTCATATTGATTGATTGGTTTCGAATAAAGAGTTATACTTAATAAACCACTTTCATCTATATTCAGAACCTTACACATAACGAGTTTTAATCTATCTATCTTCGATACAGTAGCTCACATTATTTTTCGCCCCAATCTCGACAACACCAAGTATTCATTGGGAAGGTCAGATTTCAAATCGAATATCAAACAAGACGTGCGTAGTGGTGTTAGGTATGGAAGGATGTTTGCGATTGAAGGAACAGGTTGATTGAAATATTCGGAGAGTGAATATCGGAGCAATGTCAATATACGAACCACTTTCTCAGCCGCTTCCTCTGCCTTTTCTAACGTCACAAAACGCGTTCTCAAACATTCTCATAAAATTACTTTATTAGCATATGCTACTGACATCACCCCAGATGCCTTTCATCCGGATTCCCAAATGTTTTTCCATTTTGATTTCAGATTTTGTTGATAGAGGTCTGTCGACGCATATCAGGAGGGTTCTGTTAGGTAACAGGATTTTGCTTTTACTTACTTATGTGGATATGAAAGAGAATCATTGACAACAGATGATTCTTCATGATGAACACAGTGACAACGAAATATTATTCCATTATTCAATGTATTGATTACTGTTTTCAACAGTTTGAAATTTTAGGAAGGGGATAGGCGGCAACCTAAAATGAGTGGGCCCCCTTGGACCCTTTGGATTGAAAAAACAATCTATTGAACAAAAAGACGCTCAATAAATTTGAATAAAATCATGGACTGTTGGTGCAGTAGTCAATTGGTACATTAGGTATGATGATGGTGTATTCAACCTATTGGAGAAATTTGTTTGGAAAAAATCTAACTGAACTGAAAAATACATTCAACTTATGAGAACCAATTGGATGGAGGTCATGTCATCTATTAATGGAATCAAGTATTCTTTGTCTCAATTTCCATAATCAACGTTTGATCTATTTGTTGAAAAAAAAAGCGAATATTATGATTCGAAATTAGGATATATGGGTTCGGAGAAAGATCACAAATATTTTTCAAGAAAATATATCAACTTGGCATCTTCATATCTTTAACAAAGCTGCCTTGAAGGAACAATTTCAAGAACAACTATATTTTCGAATCTGAAACCTAATAAATTTTTTCTTGATGAAATCAATAAAATCAATATCGGACCATATACGAAGGTGTCAAAGACATTGCAATGTTGAAAATGAATAAAATAGGTAACAGGTATACGTTTCACCAAAATATAAATGAACAGCAAGTTCAAATTTTGGATATCTCAATATGACGAAAACTGATTTATTCTTGAGAATGGTACAAATTCGATTTGAATTAGTCTTTCAAAATTGTGAATATATATTTTTCCAGGATTCCATCAATATGGTAAGAAAAAAGAGATTTCACGCGATAAAGATGGACACCAAATCTAGGGTACCTCTTCTGACCACCTACCCGAACTTGATGTAGGTGAGTATATTGTATATTGACCTTGTGAAAAATGAGTACACCCAATATGGATACGAATCACACACTCACAGGAGGAGCATGACAATTTGCTATTATTGTTGCAGTGGAGCACCATACATGACGTTGGTACCTAGTTAGAGTTTTGCAGGTTCTCAATATATCTGTAGTGCTATGATAAATCCTCAAAGATGCTAGAAGTAATTTTGCTGAAGTTGGGCCATCGAATTTGTGATAAAAATGATGATGATAATGATAAAATTGATCGAAATCATATTCATATAGGTATTATCATTATGAGTCACCTGGGAATATTCATGCATAATTCGGATAATACCCAGGCAACCAGATGACGTTCCAGTGACGTCTTTTTTACGTTACTTGAATGACCAAGGTGACGTCAGTAGTTGACGTCGCATTGACGTGAAAATGACGTGAATAAGTCACAGCCCAATGACGTCATATTACTCACATTGTATTGACGTCATTCACTCACCAAACTGTGACGTCCGACTGACGTCATGATGACGTCAAAATAACGCTTGAATTTGGCGATGATACGTGGAGAAGATTCCTTTGACATGGTCTGATAAACACCACCAGCCTCTGATGACAATATATAAAATTGATTATGCATTGTTGGGTCTGCTTGGTGGGTCATTCCTGTGTTATGTTCATCCAATGCAGTGCCATCGTATTTGTATCAAAAATTATGTAGTTTGTGTCGGCGAGATGTGAGCCAACAAAGAATAATTTGATAGCAATGGAATGGATGTTGGCGAATTTTGCTTCACTTTGTTGAATAATGTATATTGATGCATTTTTTGTCACACAACAAGAATCAAAATTGCAAATTATTGAAAAATTTCCTAAATGACGAAACTCACCAAATTGGTACAGGGTGATTCACCATAAATGTCCCCTCCCCTCTATCTCACTTATTATTGAACCGATTTGAAGATTTGGAAAATCATCTGGAATGATTTTCCAGGAATTTCTTTCCCGTTGCATCAGAATATACAGGGTGCTCGGAACGAACAATCTACAGAGTACTACTTGATTTTTTTCAAATGGAACACCCTGTATTTCATCGTATTTTAAGATTCTCTCTGAAGATCTGATTTCATCGATGTATCACACTTGGGGTCTAGCGGGAATGATTACAGAGATATAGGATGTTGAAAATCGAGATTTTTCAACTTAAGTATTTTTTTGTGTCGAAAATATTCATTATTGGTCAAAACGGCTTCGATGTCCCTATTTAAACTTTCGATTTACTATCTACTGACATTTAATTGGAACATATACAGTGTGTAGCAAGATTCAGAATTCTGATCACCCTGTATCTGTTCCAATTATTCATATATATACAACCCGCGCTCGTCCTAATCCCGCACAAGTTTCGACTTCTGGTTAGGTGAATCTCAATTCAAAAAAGCGATATACTCACAAATCAATAATATCAATGGAAAAATATGAATAATGATATCCCTTTGTTCTGATATCATGACTCTTCTCCTATAATAGATCCTCGCGTTGTCATCACTAGTAATAGCATTCATACTGAACGCTAACCCATTGATTTCGAGAACTAAGAGGGGAGTGGATTTATGTCAGTGCACTTACAGTGCAAACCAAATGTCATAATTCTCGAAATAATTCAGAGCTTTTTGTCATTCATGTCATTCATGTGATTCATGTTATGAAGTTCTGATAATCATTCGTGAATATGATATGATCAACAAAATTATAAGTATCAGAAAAAGTCTCCAGAATGAGTGGTAAAGATAGTGAAAAATGTTTGAAGAAGACGAATTTATTGGTATATCAGCAGCCTAGTGGTGGTAAACACCGAAGGGAACCTTGTTCATCAGGAAGAAAGAAACCTGCATACATTCCAAGTGAGTATTCAATGCATCTATTCGATCATAGATGATTTCTAAAAATCTGAGAGAATTTGAATCTATGTGTCAATGACCACACAAACAACTCCTTGAATTGTTTGGAGGATGAGGAAATCATTGTTGAAATACAACTACATTTCTGGCTTATACCATAAAGTTTTCATCTGATATGTATGATGTTCTCTGTTTGATATTTTGATCTGTTATTATGATTCTTACATCATTAAGTAATGTCTCAATATCAAACCGTTTATCATCAACAGTATTGAGTTGAACTCTTCGAAGATTTTTGTCTTCACTTCAAGTATATCACGATGTAGGATATAGATCAAAGGAAGAAGTGAACTCACCGAAGATTCGAAGATAAGTACGTATTAATACTCTGGACAGAGTTGAGATCATGTAATTGGTCAAAGAGGGCCCATTGACCGCCTTGGATATTGTCAATCCGTGAAAAGTAAACATTCTCAACATTCGATTCGACTTGTGGTTCTATTGTCCACTCAACAGGTCTGTAGTTACGTATTGATATGTTTAATTCATTTTCTTTATTACTGTTCAGTTTGAAATAGGACATGATGCATGAGACATGCTCAGAATTCGAAGCAAACTTCAACACAGGGAAACGATATAGGTGTCTTCATTTGGCAGTATTTTTTTTCAGCAACTTTGTACACATTAATTGATCTTGGAAATCTTGCGCAACAAAGAATACGAATCGACGGTTCCGAGCTTCTTCTCAAAAAACTAACCACTCAATTTCAATTGACATTATAGTTATAGACCTTCTGGAAAGCAATGAACAACCTACACAATTTTCATTCAACAGTGAATATGTGTATTATCGCACTGATTCTCATTATCTATTCATTGAAATCTATTCCCTTCAAGAAATTCAGCTTCAGTTTACCTTTTTGATGAAGAATTGAGCGATGAATCTTGTTATTCTGAATCTATTGGGATTTCCTCTCCTTGTTTCCATAAAATGAAAATATATAACAAAACAGATGATTTACCCCAAAATTTCACTGCGTTTGAAGAATTATCCTATCAGAAAGCCTAAAAGAAAAATTCACTAGCTTGTAAAGAAAGTTTGAAGAGGAGAAATTGAAGTATATAGAAAAAATATCAAATTTTCATTTAGCTTTGGACGTTTCAGGAATGAATCTGCTCGCAATTGGTGACGTTGGCAATCAAATTAGTTACACGATGTTTTCATCAATTAGTCTTGAATTTACTATCTGCATTTTCAGATTTCATTAGTGAATACCATGTTCTATCTACATCAACTGAACAGCAATGCTATCGTCTCCGTTCAGGAGAATACAAGCAGATTCCTTGATTTTTCTCTTCTGGTCGTTGTCTTCTTTGATTTTGATATTATTACACTCTGCCATATGTTGACCATCTTCAGTGAGGATATGTTCAGCTAGTTCCGATTTGTCGATGTGTCTTTTCTTTATATATTAGATATGCTCCTTCGTCCTTCCTGAAAGAGATCTCTTGGTTTCACCTGTATGAAACTTTCCACAAACACAAGCTATACTGTTAATACAATTTTTCGACGATTGTTCTCTATTTTTCGGTTTTGTTTCGGTTCGAATTAATCTCATCATAATCTAAGTATCAGAGGAATGATAGAATTTTTGAAATTTTGTCTAGAAACAACATATTTCCAATTGGATCATGAGTTTTATCAACAAAACTTTGGAACGGCCATGGGATCTCCATTATTTTCAATTTGAAGCAATATCTTTATGTAGAATTTGGAAAAAAACATCATCAAAAATCACCACAAACAATCTGAAAAATTGTGGCGATACGTAGATGATATTTTCATAATTTAGCCTCATAACTTCATGAAGCTAGATATTTTACTGGATTATGTGAACAATGCCGAACATACCATGAAGTTAACTCTGGAAATTGAATCTAACAAATCGTATAACATTTTTGTAACAAGTGTATATCGTGAAGAGACCCATACTTACAGATACCTGAACTTTCAATCAAATCATTAGAAAAGTATTAAGAAAGGGACAGTCGAATCACTCCATGATAGAGCTAAATCAATATCATCTGACCAACAATTTTTTCATTAACGAGGTCCTCCAAATCGAGAATTTTATCCAACTCAACTCCTATCCAAAGAATTTTGTCGATAAGACGATTCATCAAATTAAAAACAAACAAGGTCCACCACAACATAGTCATGCATAAATAACGACAATTTTGATACTATGCATTACCGATATATCTGAAGAAATTGAACGTGTCGGTTATGAATTTCAAGTCAAAACTGGAAATACAATGAGATCAATGCTAACTCTAACAAAACCGAAAAATGAAGAACGATCGTAAAAAAAATTGTATTTACGGTATACCTTGTGTTTATGGAAAGTTTTATACACGTGAAACCAAGAGACCTTCTTACAGAGTGAGGACGAAGAAACATAAATACAAAATGAAGATGAGACACATCGACAAATCAAACTAGCTGAACATATCCTTATTGAAGATGGACAACAAGAAATCTGCTTGTATTCTTCTGAACGGAGACAATTGCATTGCTTCCTGTTCAGTTGATATAGATAGAACATGGTTCATTCACTATTGAAATCTTGAAATAAAAATGACAAATTCAAGATTGATTGATGAAAACATCCTGTAACTCATATGATTGCCAACGTCATCAATTGTCACTGAGAACTGGAAAATGTCAGGACAAATACAAATTTGCGATAGAAGGAATCTACCTTTTTTTATGATGAAAACGGAAGCAGATTCGTTCCCGAAACGTCCAAAGCTAAGTAAACATTTTTTTTTTCTATATACTTTCTTTTAGGCTTTCTGATAGGAAAATTCTTTCAACGCAATGACATTTTGGGGCAAATCATCTGATTTGTCCTAACTACTTGTTTGTTGAGATAATATTTATATTTTCATTTCATAGAAACGAGGAGAGAAAATCCCAAAGAAATGTGAAATAATGAATGTTCACCTCCTCCCTACAGACAGTATTCAATGGAATTCGTCTTTCAGGAAATATGCTCTCATGCTCATATTGAAAATAATAGGCTTCTTCATGTGCACCTCGAATGGAATAGGTGAGATTAAATGTCATCTCAGCTTCTATGCGATCTTTCGTTATTTTCAATTCTTCATCGTTTTACTTCATAATTATTTTTGTATTGTCTCGACGGAACACTGTGGGTATATAGTTTTGAAACGATTCGATGATGCTATCTCCATTGCTCCAATATACTCGCACAAAAAACAGGATTAGTTGAACGCCTCTCTGTTGTTGTATGTTAACCGAAACAACATGCCTATCACCCTAGCACATCGAGAGGACCAAATGGAAACAAATGTAGAATAACATCGACAACTTTATACGTTCCCGAATGATTGATGAAGGTCGTGTGTATGAAAGAAAATAGAAATTGGTGGGCGTAAGGTACAATGACATTGTTGTATAATGAGAAAATACGATAACAAAAGAAATATATAGAATATGTACAGAGTGAGCCAAATTAGACTGGATAAAGGGAACTTGATGTCGGTGCCTGAAGGTGAAGGTCGATTCTCATGAGAAACTCAAGGGTGATGATAATTGTCTTCTTTTAGGAGTTACAAGGTGTTACTTGAAAATTGGCATTCATGGAAAGGATGACAACAAATATTCGTTGCCACAAGTTATCTGTTCTCATGGAGATAACTGCACAGCATTGATTTTGTGATGAAAATCTTCCCTAAGGTCTTCCTGAATCTAGAGCCACTAGATGGTACTAGAAGATAAGAGTTCGGACACAGCTGTACTCCTGTCCTTTTCTATTTCCCGAATTACAATGCTTGAGTGAATGAAAGAATGAAACATATATTCTGCTTTTTGTCTTTTCAATTTCTCTTGTAGCACCTGATTGTCTTATTCGATGTGTTAAGGGTTACATTTTCTGCCAAATCAATCATAGCCATAGATGTAAAATAAAAATAGGGTATCAAAACCCATTTCAGTTCATTCAAAATAAAGAAAAAATGCATACAACAACATTTCAATATTACAAAATGGACTCATTTGGAAATACTAATAGCTAGTTCGGTAGGTATCGAAAACGCCATTCAACGATATATCACATTGCAATTTACTTGATTTCCTCAGTTCCGTTCTCAAACTTTCAATTTGTTCACGTAGTATTGCATTCAATTCCTCTTCCTCTATAATAATTTTGTTATGCATTTCGATGATGAATGATTTTTTTAGAAAAAGTCTGTTTTATAATTGAATGGAACAGCAGATTGTCTCTGACGGATCTCAAAATCCTATGTGCAAAAATGTTCCATTAATATAGCTTCATTCTATAATCAGCTGTTATAATGATTAAATTTCAATCTATGAACCTCACAAATTTTGTATGTCTCCAGATCAATTTTCCAGTCACCGTTTCATACATTTCTTCCATATAACAATGGTTGATATATTCCCTTCGGAAGATTATTTTTTTTTTATTGCATTACCTCGTTGGTTTCAGCACTGGGACCGAACGCCCCATAAGTCGAAACTTGTGCGGGGTTAGGTGAGCATACAACAAACATCCTTGGCCTAACTAGGATTCGAACCTATGTCTCGGTGGGAGTCTCCATAAGAACTCAGCGCCTTCACGCTCTCGACCACCGAGCCGAAATCTTCAGAATTCTGACAATTCATTACACAGCAGGATATTTTTAATCATGCTTCATTCTCAATAGTTCATAAAATCATTTTATTCAGACAATTTTGAATGAAAAAGCGCTATGTAGCTCTTGTCACAATGCAAGGTGGGTAACTTAATTGATCAAAAACATTCAAAAACACTTGGAGGTATCATTTTTGTCTGGAACTCTTTGTTAATCAATAGAAAATAACTTGTTCCTGGAGAGAAATTCTTCATTTTAACTATATACGGTGACTGATTTCACTGTCTGATGATCTATTTTCAAGACAAATACAATGCCTTGAA